GATAGGTAAAATACAAACAAAAAAATTAAATACTGCTGTATTACATTGAGATTATATGAAAGTTAACTACTGGGAACATTATGAGAATGTTGGGGAAAATTCCTTTAGAAAAATCTTGTGGTTGCCTCATTCATTATCTTTTAAAAAAATTTTTTTTTATTTATTATTTTTTTTGCTGTACGCGGGTCTCTCACTGTTGTGGCCTCTCCCGTTGCGGAGCACAGGCTCCAGACGCACAGGCTCAGCGGCCATGGCTCACGGGCCCAGCCGCTCCGTGGCATGTGGGATCTTCCCAGATCAGGGCACGACCCCGTGTCCCCTGCATTGGCAGGCAGACTCTCAACCACTGCGCCACCAGGGAAGCCCCATTATCTTTTATTATTACTATTTTTTTTGTAGAGAATTATTTTATTATCCTTTAAAAATTTTTTAAATTCATTTTTATTGGAGTATAGTTGCTTTACATTGTTGTGTTAGTTTCTGCTGTACAGCAAAGTGAATCAGCTATATGTATACATGTATCCCCTTTTTTGGATTTCCTTCCTATTTAGGTCACCACAGAGCACTGAGTAGAGTTCCCTGTGCTATACAGTAGGTTCTCGTTAGTTATCTATTTTATACATAGTAGTGCGTTATCTTTTAGCATCTTGCCCTCTGCTGATTTATTTTGGGGTACTAGTGTATAATACCCAAATTTACAGAATCAGGATACATAGCTTCAGGGTTTGCTGGTTATAAAAATCAGCTTTAGTCTTGTGTAACTCCAGTAGGGGTTGAATTGCTTCTTTGGGTTCTTTCTTTGGGTTTTATGGCTACTGCTGTCTTCTGTCATCTCCAGATTCACAACAGATTACTGATATTAAAGGCATATTACCTATCAATTGAAGATTTATCTTTGTATAATCAAAAGAACTAAGAGAATACTGAAAAGGGAATTTGAAAGCCACAAATACGTGTTTGCCTATTTTTCATGATCTCTAACATTCTGTGGAAATGCAGGGAGGGTATTTTGTTATCATAATACCATCTGTATCTTATTTGATAGATAATAGCTTTCAAACCATCAAGATTTTCATCCTTATGAAACTTTGAGAATGAGGATTTTTGTTATTTTATAGGATTTAGCCAGATGGTACATTTTTACTTGAGGGAAACTTCTGATTTCATTGAAAACCATAGTACTTTCTGAGTAGTTCAGCTTTTCTGTTCATTCCTGAAGAAGGCAGAGTATTATTCTCACGTCCAGTGTTTTTTGTTTTGGCTTTTTTTTTTTTTTTTTGGTCCAAAAGATGTTTACTTTTAAATTCTTACCCAACTTTTACAGGATATGAAAATAGCATCTTCATTTTAAAGTAAAAAATTAAGTTTTAAGTGATATATCGCATTTCTTAGAAGCCTTTCTCAGGTGACCTTATTTGGTCATACTTTTTGTCATTACCTCTTTGGTATTTTTTTTTTTTCGAAGAACTGTGATTTTCCTCTTAATAGATAATGTTTTTAAAATAATCTAGCCTCATTCAGTAGGTGCTCGGTAGATGTAGAGTGTCACATCTAACATTAGTACTTTCAACTCTTGTTATCTACTGTGAATTTCATGTATAAATTAAAAGTGAGATGTAGCATGTCAGTTAGCTATGTTTAATATATACAAATGTACAGAGAAACTGGACAGGTAACTAAGTTATTCTAGGAATCGAATGTACTACCTTCTCTTCTCTCAGGAACTACCTGCTTTCCTCTTCAGAAGATGGAACTGTTAGATTGTGGAGTCTTCAAACATTTACCTGCTTGGTGGGATATAAAGGACACAACTATCCAGTGTGGGACACACAGTTTTCTCCATATGGATATTATTTTGTGTCAGGGGGCCACGACCGAGTAGCTCGGTAAGAACATTATGAGCTTAGGACTGGGCCTATTCAAGGAACAGAATGGTTTCTTGTTGGGAATTAGAAACTCCAGCCAAACTCATTTTTGCTTCTGTTATTCAGGATCAACATTTTGAGAACGTCAGCATTTATAGGTCCTTATTTGAAAACGAATGTGGGACAGGAATATTACTATGTCTGCAATTATGTCTATACCAAGAGTCCATGCCCTCCCCTTCCCCAACCGGATGCTAAACCTTGTCTTTTACAACCACTGTGAGCACGTTTATTTCCCTGTCATCTCCTTAGAAGTTGAGGATGAGGTGTCTTGGGTTAGAAACTAATTATGTGGTGGCCAAAACTAGGGAAAAATACTCTTCTATAAGTTAGACTAGGAGTTGGAGTGGGGGGTGTACATACAGAGAACTAAAGGATTATAGAATTAAAAGTTTTTTGTACCGTGTCAATTAGTTTTTCTTAAGAATGTTTAGGGAATTCCCTGGCAGTCCAGTGGTTAGGACTCTGCGCTTTCACTGCCGAGGGCACGAGTTCAATCCCTGGTCAGGGAACTAAGATCCCACAAGCCGCACTGCGGCCAAAAAAAAAAAAAAGAATGTTAGGCTCAGTCATTCCATCTGCTTTCCCTCAGGTAACTAGTGAGTGGGACCCATTTGGAGCTAACAGTTCACATGGTTGTTTCTATATTGATTTTGGGTAGAATTTTGGCATTTCAGTTAAATAATTACCTTCTTTTGTTTTCAATAATTTTTTTAAAAGGCTCTGGGCTACAGATCACTATCAGCCTTTAAGGATATTCGCTGGCCATCTTGCTGATGTGAATTGTACCAGATTCCATCCCAATTCTAATTATGTTGCTACGGGCTCTGCAGACAGAACTGTGCGGCTCTGGGATGTCCTGAATGGGAACTGTGTAAGGATCTTCACTGGACACAAGGTATTTTATACCTTCATTATTCCAGCGCACGAGGTTCTTTTGAGATAAAAATAGTTTAGAAATTAACCAGATGGATGGACCTAGAGTCTGTCATACAGAGTGAAGTAAGTCTGAAAGAGAAAAACAAATACCATATGCTAACACATATATGGAATCTAAAAAAAAATGGTTCTGATGAACCTAGGGGCAGGACAGGAATAAAGACGCAGACGTAGGGAATGGACTTGAGGACATGGGGAGGGGGAAGGGTAAGCTGGGATACAGCGAGAGAGTAGCATTGACATATATACACTACCAAATGCAAAACAGGTAGTGGGAAGCAGCTGCACAGCACAGGGAGATCAGCTCGGTGCTTTGTGACCACTTAGAGCGGTGGGAGGGAGGCGCAAGAGGGAGGGGATATGGGGATATATGTATACATATAGCTGATTCACTTTGTTATACAGCAGAAACTAACACAACATTGTAAAGCAATTATACTCCAATAAAGATGTTAAAAAAAAAACTAACCAGTGACACATTTTAAAGATACTATTCGCACCACTAAACTTTATAATTCTAACTTTTGTCTTATTTTCTTAGGTATTTTTAACCCTATTTTTGATTCTTTCCATGGACTTCTTTTCTAGGGACCAATTCATTCCTTGACATTTTCTCCCAATGGGAGATTCCTGGCTACAGGAGCAACAGATGGCAGAGTACTCCTTTGGGATATTGGACATGGTTTGATGGTTGGAGAATTAAAAGGCCACAGTGATACAGTCTGTTCACTTAGATTTAGTAGAGATGGTGAAATTTTGGCATCAGGTAAATGACTAGAAATGGCTTTGTGGTAAAGGGTCAATGGTATATTTAAAGGAAGCACTGAATGACCATTGCAAAATTAAGTCCTGCTGTTTTCTAAGTTTTGCTTCTCCTTAGCCATGATTCCAGATTGTTACCCTATATGTATGTTGACTTCTCAGGTTAAAACTACTGCTTGAAGTGCTTCTTTAGAGGGAATAATAGTTATTAATCAAGTTCAGATTTTTTCCACCAGAAATAAAAAGTAAATGCATAAAGCATACTTGACAGAATCTCAGAATCTAAATAAGGCAGATGCTACTAAATGGTTTCCTTTGATTTCCCCTTAGGTTCAATGGATAATACAGTACGGTTATGGGATGCTATCAAAGCATTTGAAGATTTAGAGACTGATGACTTTACTACAGCCACTGGACATATAAATTTACCTGAGAATTCACAGGAGTTATTGTTGGGAACATATATGACCAAATCAACACCAGTTGTACACCTCCATTTTACTAGAAGAAACTTGGTTCTAGCTGCAGGAGCTTATAGTCCGCAATAAACCATCGGTATTAAGGACCTTTGGAAGCTACTGTTTGAAAAAGGGAGACTAAAAGCAAATACCTCAGTGATTAATATTTAAGCTACAAAGAATGTTTTGTCTATATGGATCTGGAAGTATGCTGCTTGGAAAATCTGAACAGGATAGTTCCACATTTCTATAGCAACCACATTTAACTAATTTCCGTTAGTTGAATAAGAGGTATTATGTTCATGGAGGGGACATTTATGGTGCTTTGGATTTTGTGGAAGCTATGCATCGCCTGTTCAAATGCTATTTTAATTTATTATGTTTAGAAAAAAATTAGTTGATTTCAGTAATTCATCCTGCTTCAAGGTTCAAATTGAGTAATATAATACCATCCTGAATTTTAGCTGAAGAATTCTATGAGCATGTATGTTCCTGCTGTAAAAATGTAGTTACTGTATGGCACTCAAGTACTATGTTAAATGATCCACTAGCATTTTTGCTTGGCTCATGATTAGTGGAATGTACGTTAACTGGGTAGGGTGAACTACAATTACTTTTTGAGAAATAGATGAAGTACAACCATCCATCGACATCTGAATTTATACCGGTTGGATTGAGTGCACGCAAACACTCTATAAACCAGGTGAAGAAATTAACTTCCATGTTCTACTTCAGCTAAAATGGCTACATACAACCTAGTACACTTGAAGTCAGACATTTCAATTGCTTACCTCCAGTACTGAGCCTTGCTTTGGGAAACTAAAAGATTTAGACCAAGTCACTGCCAGTTTTTTGCCTTTGTTGCATTTTGTACAGTTTTTATATTTTTGATATCTTGTAAATAAAGACAACCAGCTTTTCCAGGTTCATAATTTATTGTACAAATTGGGTATCACATGATGAGCTGACATTAGCTTCTTCAGGCATGGGAACTTAACAGATGACGTACAGTTGAGAATCCTATAAACAAAACAAAAATTGTTTAGACACCAATGTGTTCAACTCTACTTTTAAGACATTCAGTAATTACTGATACAAAACTATCCGTGAACCCCCTGAAATTGAATGCAAATTCATTAGATTCTCAAAGGAGTCAGTAATCCCCCAAAATTTAGGTGTTTCTCAGCTTAATACAATTTAACACTCCCCCTTTAACAAAAGAGCTGCCAATAATTCAGTATGATGCTAAATGTATACCATTAGAAAAGCCTAGTACATAGAATAACATCTTTTTTCATAAAGTAGTATTTTAAACAGTAGAAAACAAGGAGGGTGGTATTATCCCCATTGTAAAAACAAAGTTAGGAGGAACCTAACACGAAAAATTGGGCAAAAAACTACCTGTTTTTCAGGAACAAGCCATGGACCACTGCATTCTGGGATATGCAGTCAGTCCCTTAAGGTCAATAGTTTTGTGATTGGAAAAGTTTTTAAGAGGAGAGGAAAAAATTTTCTGTCATGGAGGGCTACATGAGATAAAGATCTGGGTTTTGGGTTTTCTGTACCTCATCTACCACCAACACAACAAATATTTACTCAAGCAAGGGCAAATGGGGGTTGGGTGGCACTATAAGAAGAAAATGAAGTCTAGGGGGATTTAAGGAAAAGACAGAATGGCTTACATAAAAATTGAAACTAGCAAAAACCAAGATATATTTGCAACTGATTTAAAAGGCTGGTTAATAACTATTAAGAGAGCTTATACAGGAGAGAGGTCTTCACAAAGAGAAAGTCCCAAATGTTAAATGAGAAGAACACAGAGAATGTTAAGAAAAATATAAGTGGTAAACAAATGGAAAAAACATACAACTTTATCAAAAAGAAATTATTTTTACTCCTCAAATGAACAGAAATCAGAAACTGATGTTATTCAACACTGCCTGGGGAAGAAAGCTAGGCGCCCCACAACCCTCTGGGAAAGCGCTTCACCTTAAGAAAACAATCACAGATACAAACACTTCATGCTCAAAGGCATTCATTGTAATGTTATTTATATTAAGAAAAAATTCTAGTAGGAGACATTTCCTCTGTGAAATAAATCATATACCCATGAGCACTCATGCATTCAAATTATAGAAAACATGCATGTTATAAGACAAAATTACAGATATGGATCATAGCCACTGGAAACCAAACAAATATATTAAAAAAGAGCTAAACTGAAATGTTAACGAAAATTGTCAGGGTAATGGGGACATGGACAATATTTTTCTTTTTTCTTGATTGTAATAAATTTTGAACAATATACTTGTATAGTGGGGGGGGAACTCCTAAGATCAAAATGGCAAAGTTATATAAAGTTTTAAATGTTAATTTCTTACCATTTATGTTGCTTTCACAGCTGGAGTTTTTTTAGACCTTAACTTAAAGTATAAAACTATCAAAGCAATACCTCCATATGTGGCCAGTACACACTGCAAAAGAAAGGAAAAAGTAAACAAGAGTTGTTGTCACATCTGTCTTATTCTAAAACAACTGCTTAAAGGTATCATTAATACTTACATTCATTCTCCCTGTGAGAGTGTAAGAGTTGAAATATTTTTTGATACCAGTGAATTGGTACTGGGCATCAGTTTCTGGACCTGCCATGATTTCAATCTTTTAAAAAAAGAAAGAAAGCAACAAATTGGTTTGGATGCAATTTAAAAGAAACAAAATTTTTAATTAAAAAATTCATTGCATATAAATGTTGTAAATTTTATGTATGCCTCACCCAACAAAGCAGCAGCAAAACGGTGGAAAAAACCTTGCTGATAAGAGAAACATTTAGAAGGACGACTTTATCTTGGTTGTTATCACACAACACTCCAGAATATGTATCAAATCACTCGGCACAGGAAGAGAACACAGTAGTCTTTAAGTCCATCCTCTGACTCAATATTGGTTGATGTTTTCATTCCTGGCTCTATCTATACCACAGTACACTGTACCTGGAATTAATCAGTTTTAAGACTAGCTGAAAGCTGGAGCTTGTGATACTTTTCAAAGTTCCTCAGAGGGGTAACCACCAACTAAACAGCTCACCTTGCAACCCCTCTTTTTACAGTTTTTATTATAAATTTAGGACCTCCATGGGAAGGGGGGGAAGGGATCATTTACTAAATAGAGTTGATACATACTAACTATTGGTGTGTGTGTGGGGGGGAGCTGAAATCCTTACTCCTTACACCAGAACAGATCAAAAGATTTAAATGTAAAAGTGAAGCCAAGATATCCTGAAGAAAACATGGGCAAATATTTTAATCATCTTAGGGAAGGGAAAATATGAAGGTGGCCAAACGCAAAAAGGTGAAACATACATCACCTAATGATCAAAGAAATTTAAAACGAGACCAATATTTAGCCATCAGACTACAAAGATAAATTTATGATAATTAGCAGTAGTAGTGGGAATGTGGGAAAATAAGGATTCTCTCTGTTGCCTGGAGGGAGTGTAAACTGGTACAACCTTCCTAATATGCAATTCTTCTGCAATAGCTATCAAATTAAAAACTTAGCATACCCTTTTACCTAGCTGGTTCATTTGTTTGCCAGGAATTTATCCTTATAGAAATATTACAAAGTAGAAACGTATAATATGGTTCAAGGATGGTAAATGAAATACAGTTTATGAGAATAAGAACTAGAAGTCCGTCTACAGAAGACTGATAAGTGATGGTTTTCACTGAAGGAAACAGAATGCATGGAGATCTTTATATATAGACATGGAATGATGTCCCCATGCACGCAGATCTTTATGTACTGACATGGAAACACATCCCAATGTCATGTTAAATATTTTAAAAATCCTATTTCTGGACATTATAGAGCACATCAATGGTTCTCAAAGTCTGGTCCCCACACTGTCACTATTCATGGAAACTTGTTAGAAATGCAAATTCTCAGGCCTATTTAATCAGAAGGACCTGAGTCCCAACAATCTGTTTTAATATGCCCTCTACGTGATTCTGATGTATGTTAAAAGTTTGAAAAACACTGCAGTAACAGAAACAAAACGAGATGCTTATTAGTAATTATATTGGGAAAAAACCCTGGAAGAATATATAGCAAACTTTAAAACGGGGTTACAGCTATAGAACCTATGTATTTCACAAAGGTGTGTATTTCTTTTATAATAAAAAATAGTAAAGGCACATTCAAAGGTCACCAGAACAACACTCGAAAATTCGTCTGTATGACCGCCTATCTACCACGACCGACGCCACGCCGAGTCGATTGGCAATATAAACGAGCCGGTCGAGGTCCGGTCGAGATTGGTAGGCAGTGGCAGTGACTCAGTTGGCTCTTGATGAAATGGAAGCGGGAGAGACCTGCGAGGAAGTTGTTGCTATGGAAACTGGCACTCTCCAGTTTACCATTCAAAGGCCTTCAGAGGCATTCACGTGCATAGAATTGGCAATGAAACTTTGGACAAATGACCTTAATTTTGAAAACTGTTTCAAGAAAGTTCTTGTAGCAATGAAGGATTCCAAACTTCCCTGGGCCACCTTAGGGGCCTTGGCCAGTTCAGGCCAAGTAGGAAAATCTCCATTAAAAGAAATCTTTATGATATAGCTTTCATATTAATTGTTTTATTTTAGTAAACTTATTAAACACATGCTTTCCCATTCATCTTCAGAACAGATTTTTGGATTCTCATAGTATCAAGTAGGTTTCTCGGAGAAACCCTACAGAAAACAAGGGCTTAACTTTGTCCAATTATTAACTGATAATTCCCACTACCTTGTGTTTAACAAACATTTTCAGAAGGTGAAATGGTGTCCAACTGAAACAATATTAAGGTGCTTTAAACTTCTCTCCACACAATACAGAAGGAAGGCTGATGTTTGCAATATTACACAGAGGACTAATTCTGACTGCAGGGAAAGGCACAGTACAGGAACCGCAATTTAGATTGTAAAGAAAGACTCCTAAAAAACGCTGAGATGGAGGGGAAACTGAGATAAACTGGAGCAAAGCCTGCAAGCACTTGGGTCTGCTTCCTCAGCAAACTGCAGGTTACTTTTGGGCAAACATCAGGAATCCTTGTGTTAGATGGTACTTTGTGGAATAAATGAACTGAAACTTGCTTTCCTTCTGAGTCATACTTCAGTTTAGAAAGACATTAATGAAAAATACTTAGACTAAACTGTACTAATTGCTAAACTGTAGCCTATGGCAAAGTCTAAGCGATGGGGTCTTCGCTTGTTTCTAATTAAGCGGCGAACTGCTCTTAAACATAATTAATCTTTCCACGCCTCTCTTCACCTGTAAAATGGGCACTTTAGAAACTACCCTCGCTACTTTCTGTTTCTCGGTACTGCTGTTGTGTCGGACCGGACACCTTCCTGGATTGGTGAGATGACGCGGTAAAGGAGGCAAAGACGAGGGAGAGCCGCTCACGTACCAGAAGCAGCCTCTTGCACTTAAAGGAGTTTACAGCTGTCTGTTCTGGCTACCTCCTAGGAAAGGCCTTCCCCACTGATCGAACAGATTGAAATCTAACCCGCTTATCGCGGGCTCGGCGAAGCGCAGAAGGCGGGCTACACTCACTCGCGCTTGACAAAGGCTGCAGCGCAGCTAAAGGAGGCCTGGCTGGACAGCTTCTTAAGCACAGCTCAGTGCAAACAAACTGTTTTGGGCATACAGTGGGAAAGAGGTTAACAGGACCAGAGGGGGTCAGAAGCCCGAGTTCTCATCCAATATTACGTCACTGGGTGACCTTGGGACACTCCCTTCGCTGCGGGCCTCATTTCTCTCCACTGGAAAATGCATTCTAAGGGCCTTTATGAACTGGGGGAAGGGGGCCTTTACCTCGCACCAAAGCTTCCCAGCCACCGTCCGAACCCTCACGCCCGGCCCTCATTTTCTCTAATTTCTTTTCCATTCACCATCACTCTCCCCGCCCCCCACGTCCCCCACCCAAAGCGAAGACCTCGCGATGTGCCCGGACCAGGAAACGGTCGGATTCTAGGCCAGCCCCACAAAGCGGAGCCGCGAGGTCCGAGCCCGGGTTCCCTTCCACACCCACCTTCCAAAACGCACAGAGCCCGTTGCAGGTGTCCTTCTGCTGACGAAGCTGCTCCTCTGCCCCGCCGGAAGAAGCCGCCTCCCCCGCAAACGTTCAACGGGCCTTACGGATTCGGCCCTCTGTGCCGATTGGCTACGGCTCTAAGTCCCGCCCTTCCGCTTCCTGTCTCTAAATCTCTCTCTCTCCCCCCCCCCCCCCCCCCCCCCCCCCCCCCCCGCCCTATAGGACTCAGTACAGCGTACTAACGGAAGTAGGCTTTGAGCCCGCCCACGCTTCCGGAAGAGCCGAGTTGGGTTGCTGGTGTTCTAGACTCCGCGTGTGTGATTACAGTGGCTCGGCCTCCGAAGTAGAAGTGCTGGCGTCCCGGGGCTGGTGAGTGGGGGAAAAGGCGACAAGGGTGGAAACTTCGTGGCTTCCAGGTCTGTCCCAGGACTAGGTCCTCTGGATCCCTGCCATGCACCCGCAGTGCCGGGTGAGTGGTTGGGTTCCGAAGCCGGCTCTGCTGGAGTGGTCCCTGTAACGTCAGAATGTGTCCCCAGGAAGTAGCTCAAGGCCCTTCTTTGTCGCGGGATCAGTTTACTCTTTGAAGCTTCAGTTTCACCCTGTCTGAAATGAGATTAAGGGTCAAATGCCTAGCAAACTGGACGGCATTTCTTGTTCTATTTCTACCAAACACATCCATTCCTGATTCCAACTCCTAGGCTCCCTCTAGGTCTTCACCTCTTTCACAGTCTCAAGCCTTTTTAGATTCCTATTCCCAAGTGTCTCTCAGAACCAACCCCTCCTATCTTCTATTCTCACTTATACCTATTCAGTAGTTCTGGTTCTCATGATTTCTCTGTTGTACTGCAGTTGAATCCTTGTACCCGGTGTACCTTCCTTCAGTCCAATCTATAGCCTGAAGTATATATATTTTTTGTTATTGTTCTTTCCCTCTTCTTAAGGCTCTGACTTGCCAAAGTGAACGTTAACGTCAAAGTGAACGTTCTCATGATTTATCTGTTGTACTGCAGTTGAATCCTTGTACCCGGTGTACCTTCCTTCAGTCCTATCTCCCTGTCCAATCTATAGCCTGAAGTATATACATATTTTTGTTACTGTTCTGTCCTTCCCTCTTCTTAAGGCTCTGACTTGCCAAAGTGAACGTTAATCTATTCACACCTGATGAAAGATCTGACACAAAAAGCCCAACGTGTCTTTTAAAATTTAACTCCAATTATTATGCTTTATTCACCTTGTAATCTAGTTGAACAATTCTTCAAAGAAAGGCAAGAGCAAGCTTTTGAGCAGCTTGACAGACATATTGCTGGCGCTTATCGAAATAATTGTTTTTTTCCTATTTCCATGCCCTTTTCTCGTATTCCTTCTGTTTTTCCCTTTCCACCTGTCAAAATTTTATTCCTCTTTTAACATTCAGCTCAAAAGCATCTTTTTTAGGAAGCTTTCCTCCTTTGCTGAAGCCTCATTATTTCCTACCTCCTTGTTGATAGTTTATAATCTGATTTGTATTTTAGATCCTTTGCGTAATTGTTTTATCTTCTTAAAAATGTGCGTATTCTTTGAAGGTAGGGGGTTATGTATTCATCTGTGTATCTGTGACTTAACTGAAGCTGCTTAATGATATTTAATACATTGAAACTAACTTCTTTTGCTGGAGAAAAATGTGTGGACTTGTGGTTTTGAAGCAAAGACCTTTGGAAAGACGAATTATGGATTATTTGTTGCCTGGCATCAAACCATCCATTTCTTAGTCCTGAATGCTGTCCAGCACATTGGTGCTAGAAGGCTCTATCTCTTGCCCATTGATCACAACCTTGACACTAAGGATACAACTCACCAATTCTTTGCATTGTTTTTAGGACACCCAAACACAGCAACCATGGAAGAAAGCTTCCCCCGAGGGGGTACAAGAAAGACCCACAAATCAGAGAAAGAGAAAGCTTTCCAGCAGTCATTTGAACAAGACAACTTATTTGATGTAAGTGGTGTGCTTTTTTGATAAGACTCACTGAACACTTTCTCTCTAGTGTCCTTATGAAGAATGAGCCTTGTTTGAGAATGTGTGGTTTTCCAGATTGGATTCTTGTTGAAGTCAACTTTTATAAATTAAACTTGTTAGAGAGTCCATGCCACCACAAGACTATATCCTTTGAAGCATGGCATTTAATATTTGAGTTTGCAGTGCCGTTGTTTCTTTCTTTCTTTCTTTGGCCACGTCACCCAGCTTGTGGGATCTTAATTCCCTGACCAGGGATCCAACCTGCGCCCTTGGCAGTGAAAGCATGGAGTCCTAACCACTGGACCACCAGGGAATTCCCTGTTTCTTATTCTTAGAAACTTACCATGTTGATTAAGGATGGAGAGAAAACAGTTTGATCACTGCATTTTTGAATGAGGTCCTTGCTGTATAAAGCGATCATAATTTGCAGTAGAATTTGAAACCTTCACCTAGAGTAGGTTGCGCTCCAAATGCTAGAGGGACGGTAACTAACACTTGATTGTATGGTCTCATGTCTATTTTATGTAATCTTTCCAACTGTACTGTGTAGTAGAGATCATCATTTCATGGTGAGGAACTGAGGCTCAGAGAGGTTATATAATTTAGTTGAAATCACACAGCTTGTAATGATGGGGATAGGAATTTAACTTGGGTCTTCGTGACTCCACCTTTTATTTTCTGTCACTGTTCCAAATTGCTTCTCCCAGCGGGGGACCCCAGTGCTCATCCCAGTCAAGGGAGGAAGAACACAGGAGAGAAGGGGCTTTGAGAACAGAGCTCAGATTTTGGTCAAAGGGAGAATTGCTGTCAGAACAGGAGATTGGCGTTGAGGCAGGAATTAAAGGAACAATTGGGAGTGGGGTGGAGTAGAAGGGAAGACAAAGCAAGGTGACAGATGACCTGAAGTTGGAGGGAAAGGCCAGGATTACTGGTTTTTATTCTTTTGGGTCTTTTGCCCCCTTTAGATTTCTACTGAAGAGGAATCCACCAAAAGGAAAAAGATCCAGAAAGAGCCAGCAAAAACAAAAAAGTTGAAAGTTGAAAAGAGAGAAAGCAACAAGTTTGTAAGAGAGAAGTTTGAAATCCTTAGTGTGGAGGTTTGTCAAAGTTTTTTTTTATTTTTAACATCTTTTTTGCAGTATAATTGCTTTACAATGGTGTGTTAGTTTCTGTTTTATAACTGGTTTTGTTTTAAACAAACTCTCTGAGTTGCTTAAGTCTGTATATGTTCTTCTTCCTTTCCTCTTTCCTTTTTTCCTTCATTCTTTTCGTATAAATATGTGTGTGTAGCTTATGTCTTTAGAACTTCTTCCAGTTTTGTTCAGAATTGAGCATTATTTCCTTCAATTATTAACCAGTGCCTGTAATCATGTGTTGTTTTTTTAGTTTTTCTTTTTAGCTGCTGAGTCCCTCATCCCGCCGATGCCCTCATGGAACTTGTGTTTTAGTAGAGTCATAGGTTAGAACTGGCAATAACTTTAGCAATCACTCTAATTCTTCCCTTTCATTTCATAGATGTGGAAATTATCTCAGAGAAGTGAAGCAGTCTTATTATGTTCCTTAAATTTTTAGATAATTCTGATACACATTAGTTGTAAAAAAAGAAAAAAAAAGTCAAATGATAGTGAAGGGAAACATATAGATTCAGCCTGCAGAAGTATTTTCTTTGTCCTGTGTGCTACTTAAAAAAAATAATTGTTTAACTTCATGCCAACATTAGAAAACTAAAAAATTTCCCATAAAAATGTGATTTCCGGCTTTTTTGTAAAAATTTGAAAGTGCTGACAGTACAAGCTCGCACTCCCTCATGTTTGTAGGCACACAGAGCTGAATAGTGGTTGCGCCCTTTAGACCTGGCATGCACCCTCCAGACTGACTTCTGCCTCCACTGACATTCTGTCCTGCATTGTGTTGCCTGCTAGGCCTTTGAGTTTGGGCTGCTTGGAATAAAGGAAAAGGCGAGCGTGCCCTCCAGCACCCTGCTGGAAACACTGTTGTATAATTTCGATCTTTCGTGGTGCTCAGATGTGTGATGAGTGTACTGACATGTACACATATATGTCTCGTAGCTTTTATATGTCAGAGTTGGGACTAGAAGCCAGAACCCCCCCAGCCTCCCCAATCATTGTTCTCTTCCCTGTTGTATACATTTCACTCTTTCTCTTCTAGTCCCTGTGTGAGGGGATGCGGATTTTGGGTTGCGTGAAAGAGGTAAATGAACTGGAACTGGTGATTAGTCTCCCCAACGGCCTCCAGGGGTGTGTGCAAGTGACTGAAATCTGTGATGCCTACACTGAAAAGCTGAATGAGCAGGTGGCACAAGAAGAACCCCTGCAGGTAAGGGAAACCCGCATGAAATCTGTAACTGGAAATAAGTAGTACACCAACAGATGTAAAATGACAACTTTGCTAAGTGTTAAGAAGGAAGGGTACAAGGTACCAAGAGAGTTTATAATAGGGAAATTTTTTTTTCTTTTTTTTTAAAAAAAAATAAGGGGATTTTGACTTAGCCCAGGGAACCTGGAAGACTTGCCTGAGGAAGGGATGCCTGAGCTGAGGTAGGAAGGATGAGGGTATGCTAGAGAAGGGAGTTCAGGCAGAAGGAGCCCGATATGCAGCAGAAGGCTAGTGTGGCTAGAGCAGAGAGAGCCGGGGAGAGTGGGGTGGGATGGGGCTGGAGGGCTGGGTGGAGGCCAGACCATGTTTAGGATTGTTTTTCTAGAATCAGTGGGAAGCCCTTGAAATGTCCCCACTGGGGTGGGTGCCATGTAGACAGCACAGAGAATGAATTGAAGAGGCATGCGTAGCTGCTTAGAGACCAGTTAGGAGGCTGTTGTCGTAGTCTAGGCTCTGAGATTGATGGATTTACTGAGGGCTGAGGAGGTAAAGTCAGCGCTTAGTGACGAATTCCATATGGGTGGCAAGGCCGAGAGACGTGTCAGAGGTGAGTCCTAGGTTTCTGTTGAGCACGGCTTGACAGTTGGCCATGCCATCCTGAGACAGGAGACCCTGAAAGGGGACCTGGATTAGGAGAGATGATCATGATTTGATTTTCTGTTATGTTGAGTTTGAGGTACAGTTGAGACAACCAGTAGATAGGTGATGCTGGAGCTCAGGGACGTTTGGGTTAGAAACATGAATGTGTGAAACTTCTTTGTATAGGTGGTAATTGAAGCTATGGAGAGGGAAGAAGTTGCTTAGAGGGAGCACACAGAGGGAGAAGAGACTAAAAGACTGAGCCTGGGGCAAATACTATATTTTAGTTGCTGAATAAAAGGAGAGTTGCTGTCAGAAGAAGGTGGGACCAGAGACACAGAGAAGAAAAAAGGTGAACGAAGGGTTGGAAGCCAGGAGGAAATGCTTAAGGAAGCAGCACCAGAGTTAAATGCTTTGTAAAGGTCATGTGAGAGAAGGACTGTAAAGTGGACTGTTGGGTTTAGCGACATGGAAGTCATTGGAGATTTTGTTGGGAGATCAAGTATGGAGTGATGGGGGTGGAACTCAGATTGCAGTGAGCTGAAGAGTGAGGAGAAGATGAGGAAGTAGAGACAGTAATTGTAGACGATTCTTTTAACACGTCATTTTACATCTGCCCATTGCGTGGAGATGTTTGGAGACCTTAAGCTGTAATCCAAGACTGTGACATGGCCACAGGCCGCTTCCTTTGTGGGTGAGCAGTTACTCTCTTCATCTGCCTTTTGGGCTCTTTGGGATCTGAGGATGAGAAACCGCTGAGCCAGGACCAGGCAATGAATTCTCAGTGCAGGGGAAGGGTACGTATCAGGTTTTTCTCATTTGTATTCTGCAGGACCTGGTCAGCTTGTCTGAGCTCTTCTCACCTGGGATGCTGGTGAGATGTGTGGTGAGCAGTCTGGGCATCACAAAGAGGGGCAAAAAGAATGTCAAGCTGTCTCTGAACCCCAGAAATGTCAACAAAGTGCTGAGTGCTGAGGCCCTGAAACCCGGCATGGTACGTCTCTGGCGCCAGGGCAGAGGAGCAGGCAACATGCCTTCTCCCTGTCCTGCCTCCTGGGGTGTGTCTAGACTACCTTTCACTTTCAGCTTAACTGTTACACATGGGGGTGCGTCTTTTCCTGGGGGGAAGGTCGCCAGGGTACTTTGGGTACTTAATGGAAATTGAAGACTTGAACCTAATCACATTACCCTGGAGGGGAGGAAGGGAAAGCAAGTCCAAGATTTGCTGGTAGGGGGAAAAAAATGCTTCCAAGGAATCTTAGCAAGGGTAAGAAGGAGTTCCTTGAAGTGCCTTCTTTACCGAGACTTCTTCACAGATTAAGTCTTTTTCAGAGGCCACTGGCGTTTGTGGGGAGAGCTTGAGGGCTGCTCTCTGAGAGCGAGAGACAGGGTAGACAGGGCAATTAGACTGTCAGCCGTACTAATGGATGATCCACTACTGAGTCTCCCAGTCCTATGCAGGTTCAGGAGAAATGTATCCCCACTCAGTGCCTCCAAGTCAAGTAGGTACAAAACACACTCATATAAACTATACTCACTTAAGAGGAAGGAGATCAGTATGATCTTGGAACGTTTGGTTAGAAGCGGTGGAGTTTGGACCAGGCCCTGAACGTTGGGTAGAGTGGGGAATAACAGTAAGCCAAGTTGTAGGAAATTGACAGGTATTGAGAGGCCACTGTTTGACAGGTGCTGTTTTAGACACTTCCTCTGAAAAAATTTTCATAGCAACCCTGTGAGGCTGATAGGTATCCCTCTTGTACATTTGAGAAAACAGACTGAAAAAGGTTTAAGTGACTTAAGTGACCAAACACCAGATAGCTACTAAGTGTCAGAGCCAGATTTGAATGCCACAGTGCTTCCCGTGAAAGGTAAAGGAGGTTGGCAGGAGTTTGGGGGGAGACACCCTGGAGGTGCTTAGAAAAGACTTGATGACAGCGAGAAGGGTAGTTCCGGATTCTCATTAGTCATGGTGCTGGGAGTGCTGGCACTGCAAGGCCATCTGGTTTATCTCTTTGCATAACATGAAAGTCTTTCCTATCTTTTGAAAATCCTCCAGGGGAGAATCCCCTCTCTGTCATTCCATTATTCAACTCCTCTCTGTCTGGAAACTATAAGATCCTTCAAACCCTGGGAGAATTAAAATTGATGTCTGTCCCTCTTCTATCCTATAGTGGGACTGAGGGTTTTTTTCTTTTCTTTAAAAAAAAGATTTTTTTAAGTATAATTAATGTACAATATTATACAAGTTACAGGTGTACGTTATAGTGATTCACAGTTTTTAACGGTTATACTCCATTTATAGTTATAATAAAGTATTGGCTATATTCCCTGTGTTGTAGGGATTGAGGCTTAAAGTTAAAAGTGAGAGGATGTGTGGGATTATGGGATGGTGGGAACAGTCCTGTTTGGTAGTGGATGTTTGTTATGTGTCCCATGACCTTTGACTTTTGACCTTTTGAGAATGCTTTGCCTTCCTCCAGCTGCTCACGGGCACTGTGTCCAGCCTGGAAGACCATGGCTATCTAGTGGACATTGGTGTTAGTGGGGCCAGAGCTTTTCTGCCACTGCAGAAAGCCCAGGAGTACATCCAACAGAAGAACAAAGGTGAGAGGAAGAAGAGGGACCAGTCCATGGTAGTGAGGTGGTATATGGGGGATTATATTTAAATGCCACTTTGGTGAGTAAAATGCAGAATGCTGACCCTGAAGCATGTTTGGCTTTGCTAAAATCAACTGTTAATCTTAGGTGACAGAAAAAGGAAGATGTGTGAAGGGTCAGGGAGTGGCAGTCTCATTAAGATCTGATGGACCAGTTTCACTTTTTCTCACTTAGAAGATTCCACTGAAATTTGGGCCCCCAGAGCCTCTGAACCAGTACTCTCCCGCCTTGTTGAGGTTTTCATATTTTTGTGTGGTAGTTGATTCCAGATCAGTCAGGGTCATTTCACGCCATTCTTGTAGTTGGTCCCTGAGAAACTGGGAATATGGGGAGTAACTGGGTAGGTAGGCCATGGATCTTTCAGGTATCACTCGAGCCCAAGTTCAAAGTCCTTCTCATAATAGGTATTTTTCCTTTTGGGGGCTGGACTTGCAGGTGCTAAATTGAAGGTAGGTCAGTACCTGAACTGCCTTATTGAAGAGGTGAAAGGCAATGGAGGAGTTGTTAGTCTGTCTGTTGGTTACTCAGAAGTTTCTGCTGCCATTGCTACTGAGGAGCAAAACTGGACCCTCAACAGCTTGCTACCAGGACTGGTAGTCAAAGCCCAGGTACAGAAGGTAAGCCGTTCATTGTTACTACTATTTTCTAAAATAAAAATAATTTTTATTAAAGTAGTACGTGCACACAATCTAAAAGAGTGCTGTCCAGTAGGGTAGCCCCTGGTCCCATGTGACCATTAAGCACTGGAAATGTAGCCAGTACCACGTGTTGAAATGATAATATTTTGCCTATATTGGGTTAAATAAACTATTAAAATAAATTTCAGCTGTTTCTTTGTAATTTTTACAATGTGACTGCTAGGAAACTTAAAATTACATTTGTGGCTTATATTTCTCTTGGGCAGTGCTGGTCTAAAAGATCAAATGGTATTGAAAGGCTTATGATGAAGAACTCTCATCCCATCTAACCCCCACCTTTAACTCTCAGCTTATCTTTTGAAATTTTCCTGTGTGTTTCGAAGTATAATAGTAAGCTTCTGCTGCATCTTACCACTTTGAGGCATTGGGTTTTCACTTCTTATCAAGGTAGATGAAGTTTTGGCTCTCTTATCCTTACCTTCTCCCAACCTTTCGACAAAGGAATATAAAAATTTTGGCTAAATCATTATTCAGTGTTTAAATTATATGACTACATAGATACTATTTATTTGCTGGGCTAGATAATATAATTTGTTTCTTGAACAGCTTTTTTTCCTGGAGTTGCTAATCACCTTTGTTTTTGTCATTTGCTGAATTCTCTTCCTACCTTTCACTCTTTCTTCATACATCCTGTAGTTATTTTTCTCTCACTATTTTCTGTGTTTTCAAACCCTTTAAATAATCTTTGCTACTTTTTTCCCCTACGCGGAGCCCCTTTTACTGTCATCCGGCTCCAGTCTGGACTGGTTGCTCTGTAGGGCTCCCTTTCCTGTCATCCCAGATCCTTTTCCACTCTTCTGTATTGGATAGAACCTTCTTTGATTCCATGTATTCCTCTTTTTGGGTTTACTCATCTTAATGTGTCACATTCGCCAGAAGCATCCTCAGAAAAGCAGATGGGAGGTTAATTTCTTCACCTCATGTGTCTTAAAATTCCCAAGACCGCTCCCAGGTTCGATGATTCACTAGAAAGGCTCACACCATCAGCATATAGCGGCCCTCACGGCTGTGATTTATTGCAGTGAAAGAAGGCAAAGCAAAATCAGCAAAGGAAAAAAGCCCCATGGAATGAAGTCTGAAAGAAACCAGGCACAAGCCTCCAAGAATCCTCTTCCAGTGGAGTCACAAAGGGTGTATTTAGTTCCTCCAGCAGCAGGTTATGACAACATGGGTGAATGTTGTCTACGAGCAAAGCTCATTGAGGGTTTTTATTTGCGACTGGTCACATAGGCACCAGCTGCCTGTCATGTACCAAAATTCCTGACTCTCCTAAGGAATTCGAGTGTTTAGCATAACCCATATTGTTTGCACAAATAGTTTAGGTACAGTGAGCCACTCAGTTCTGAGAGTGGTGGGAACCCTCTTGAAGTCTAAGTTCCCAGACACCAGGCCAGGGCCAACACTGCAAGCATGCTTTTCCAAGGATCGCAGTCTCAGGCCTGCTATGTTAACTCTTTTCTGCACACCTAGTATATCTGAAAATACCTTTATTCTGCTCTAACGTGTGATTGGTAGTTAATCTGGGGTTAGAATTCTAGGTAAAATAGTACCTCAGAGGGCTCCCCTGGTGGCGCAGTTGTTGAGGGTCTGCCTGCCGATGCAGGGGACACGGGTTCGTGCCCTGGTCCGGGAGGATCCCGTGTGCTGCGGAGAGGCTGGGCCCGTGAGCCATGGCTGCTGAGCCTGCGCGTCCGGAGCCTGTGCTCCGCAAGGGAGAGGGCACAGCAGTGAGAGGCCCGCGTACCACCAAAAAAAAAAAAAAAAAAAACACCTCAGAATTTTGAAGTTCTTGTTCCCATTGTCACCTGGCCTCTACTGCTGTTGAAAAGTCTGATGTTATTTTGATTTCCTTTTCTTTATATGTTCAAGGATCTTATCTTTATCCCTTTCGTTTTAAAATTTCACAATGATGTGCTTTTGTATGACTCTCTTTCCATTTATTTGTGCTGACCTCCTGTAATCCAGAAATGTAGATCCTTAAGTTCTGGGAAAGTTTTCTGTATCACTGTGGGTTTTTTTTTTTCCCCAATTTTTAAGTTGAGATATAATTCACATACAGTAAGATTCACCCTTTTAAAGTGTACAGCTTAGTGGTGTTTCAGTGTATTCACAAGGGTGTACAGCTGTCATCACTATTTAATTCCAGAACATTTTCATCGCCCCAGTAAGAAACCCCGTACCCATTGGTTGTCACTCTCCATTCATTCCCTCCCTCAAGCCCCTGGCAACCACGAATCTACTTTTTATCTCTAGATTTGCCTGTTGTGGGTATTTCATATAAATTGAACCATACAGTATGTAGCCTTTTATGTCTGGTTTCTTGCACTTAGCATGTTTTCAAAGTTCATCCATGTTGTAGCATTTATCAGTGATTCGTTCCTTTTTATGGCTGAATAATACTCCATCATATGGAGTTGGTAGACATTTGGGTTGTTTCCACTTTTGTCTTATGGGTAATGCTGCTATGAAATTTGTATATAAGTTTTTGTAGGGACATATGTTTTCATTTCTCTTGAGTGTATATCTAGGAATGGACTTGCTGGGTCATATGATAACTCTGTGTTTTAACTTTCTGAGGAACAGCCAAAGTGGCTGCAACATTTTACATCCCCACCAGCAATATAAGGGTTCCAATTTCACCACATTCTCACAAACACTTATTGTTATTCTTTTTATTATAGCCACTCTAGTGGGTGCGGGTATGAAGTGGTATTTTGTGATTTTGATTTGCATTTCTCTAATGATTGGTGATGTTCAGCATCTTTTCATGTGCTTATTGGCCATTTATAAATCTTCCTTGGAGAAATATTGAATCAGAAGTCTTTATCCATTTAAAAGTTACATTATCTTTTTATTGTTAATGGTGTAAGGGTTCTTTGTATCTTCTGGATACTAGCCCCTTATCAGATCTTTAAAAAAAATTTTTTTTTAATAAATTTATTTATTTTTTTGGCTGTGTTGGGTCTTCGTTTTTGTGCAAGGGCTTTCTCCAGTTGCGGCAAGCGGGGGCCACTCTTCATCGCGGTGCGCGCGCGGTGCGCGGGCCTCTCACTGTTGTGGCCTCTCCCGTTGCGGAGCACGGGCTCCAGATGCGCAGGCTCAGTAGTTGTGGCTCATGGGCCTTGTTGCTCCGCGGCATGTGGGATCTTCCCAGACCAGGGCTCGAACCCGTGTCCCCTGCATTGGCAGGCAGATTCTTAACCACTGCGCCACCAGGTCTGTTGTACTGCAGTTGAATCCTTGTACCCGGTGTACCTTCCTTCAGTCCAATCTATAGCCTGAAGTATATATATTTTTTGTTATTGTTCTTTCCCTCTTCTTAAGGCTCTGACTTGCCAAAGTGAACGTTAACGTCAAAGTGAACGTTCTCATGATTTATCTGTTGTACTGCAGTTGAATCCTTGTACCCGGTGTACCTTCCTTCAGTCCTATCTCCCTGTCCAATCTATAGCCTGAAGTATATACATATTTTTGTTACTGTTCTGTCCTTCCCTCTTCTTAAGGCTCTGACTTGCCAAAGTGAACGTTAATCTATTCACACCTGATGAAAGATCTGACACAAAAAGCCCAACGTGTCTTTTAAAATTTAACTCCAATTATTATGCTTTATTCACCTTGTAATCTAGTTGAACAATTCTTCAAAGAAAGGCAAGAGCAAGCTTTTGAGCAGCTTGACAGACATATTGCTGGCGCTTATCGAAATAATTGTTTTTTTCCTATTTCCATGCCCTTTTCTCGTATTCCTTCTGTTTTTCCCTTTCCACCTGTCAAAATTTTATTCCTCTTTTAACATTCAGCTCAAAAGCATCTTTTTTAGGAAGCTTTCCTCCTTTGCTGAAGCCTCATTATTTCCTACCTCCTTGTTGATAGTTTATAATCTGATTTGTATTTTAGATCCTTTGCGTAATTGTTTTATCTTCTTAAAAATGTGCGTATTCTTTGAAGGTAGGGGGTTATGTATTCATCTGTGTATCTGTGACTTAACTGAAGCTGCTTAATGATATTTAATACATTGAAACTAACTTCTTTTGCTGGAGAAAAATGTGTGGACTTGTGGTTTTGAAGCAAAGACCTTTGGAAAGACGAATTATGGATTATTTGTTGCCTGGCATCAAACCATCCATTTCTTAGTCCTGAATGCTGTCCAGCACATTGGTGCTAGAAGGCTCTATCTCTTGCCCATTGATCACAACCTTGACACTAAGGATACAACTCACCAATTCTTTGCATTGTTTTTAGGACACCCAAACACAGCAACCATGGAAGAAAGCTTCCCCCGAGGGGGTACAAGAAAGACCCACAAATCAGAGAAAGAGAAAGCTTTCCAGCAGTCATTTGAACAAGACAACTTATTTGATGTAAGTGGTGTGCTTTTTTGATAAGACTCACTGAACACTTTCTCTCTAGTGTCCTTATGAAGAATGAGCCTTGTTTGAGAATGTGTGGTTTTCCAGATTGGATTCTTGTTGAAGTCAACTTTTATAAATTAAACTTGTTAGAGAGTCCATGCCACCACAAGACTATATCCTTTGAAGCATGGCATTTAATATTTGAGTTTGCAGTGCCGTTGTTTCTTTCTTTCTTTCTTTGGCCACGTCACCCAGCTTGTGGGATCTTAATTCCCTGACCAGGGATCCAACCTGCGCCCTTGGCAGTGAAAGCATGGAGTCCTAACCACTGGACCACCAGGGAATTCCCTGTTTCTTATTCTTAGAAACTTACCATGTTGATTAAGGATGGAGAGAAAACAGTTTGATCACTGCATTTTTGAATGAGGTCCTTGCTGTATAAAGCGATCATAATTTGCAGTAGAATTTGAAACCTTCACCTAGAGTAGGTTGCGCTCCAAATGCTAGAGGGACGGTAACTAACACTTGATTGTATGGTCTCATGTCTATTTTATGTAATCTTTCCAACTGTACTGTGTAGTAGAGATCATCATTTCATGGTGAGGAACTGAGGCTCAGAGAGGTTATATAATTTAGTTGAAATCACACAGCTTGTAATGATGGGGATAG